CTTTCATTTGCTCGCTTTGAATGGACTTAACGACACCAGTAGGTAACGTTAAAGTACTCCTGGCCAATAGACTCGTAGGTGAAGACGTTTTCACGTCCACTTTCTTTATTTTGTCCTGTACATCATCAATATCATAACTATGACATTTTTCTTTTCCATTCTCATCTCTCGATTGGGTCTCTAAAGAATCGTTCTTCTTCATCGATTCCATCAGTTTCTTTTTAAATATGGAAAGTCCAAGAAAGTAAAAGCGTTATGCTTCGTCATGTACATTTCGATAAAGACTCCATGATTTATGTTGTTGAATTCTGTCACACATGATTAAAGCAAATCATTATTTTGACGAAATTTAATAGCTCATTGATAAAAATTTAATAACTCTTTAAAACATTATAATAATAATTTACTTTAATGCACAAAATTATAATTGCAACTATATAATTATTATATGAATTATGTTAAAATCAACAGCATTTATGTCGCGATTTAAAAATATTAAAATTTTTAATAAAGAAAATGGAAATGATTTAAAATGATCTAAGCTGCTTCTAAATGCTTAATTTTATAAACTAAATATGTAACAATGATGTTGCAAAATTAAAATTTTGTATCTCGAAAATTAAGACAAGTAAAAATTATATAGTAAATAATTCTTTATATCCGAAAATCATTTAGAAATTTTAGAGCATAGAGTAATGCAAGATGTCAAGTGCAAATATCAAGTACAGAAAATAATTCTATTAATCATATTTTTAAGTATTGTAAAAAATTTCGAGATCAAATTTTGTCAAGAGAAAAAGTAATTAAACACAAGATTAGACAGATTGCATTATTTTAGTATTATCCCTTTTTAAATGTTTTATTCCTTTTCATTACAAAATTATTTTTACATGTAAATTATATTGTCTTCTAAAATCGAAAATCAAAATCAGCACTGTAAAAACTAGTGCTTTATGGTGTTACACGCGAGAATTCATCATCCATTTGCATTGCATGGTTCACGAATCTAGAAAGCGGGACGCATTAGGATACGTAGTCGTATGTGTACTTGCTCTCAATTACTTTCTCCATGCACTTTCACTTTTGATTGTCCCTCAACAAATATATTTAACAGATTTAAACACAGCTCTATGTGCACAGAAACGCACAACCTACTTTTCCTTTTAGCTAAATTTAGCTAAAAAGTAGGAAAAAGCAAGATCAAAGAGAGAGAGAGAGAGAGAGAGAGAGAGAGAGAGAGAGAGAATTCTAGTATTTATAAATGAAATAATAAAAATGTCAAACTTTATTTTTATCTCTTAAAATCTTAAAAAATAGACGTAATGGATACCAATCAAAAACTATTCTTAGATCCAACATATTTCAACATTGTTTTTATATTCAAAGAGTATCAAGATACAAATATAATCCGAAAACTGCGTAGCCTCGTCGAAAAAAATATCCGAAGAAGTCTTAAAATTATTTTTTATATTAAAATTATTTTATGTTAAAATTATCGTATTTAAAATAGAATGTGTTCTTCATAGAAATCTCTATTAAAAGTTAAATATTTTGGACCTCAAAATATTTTTAAGACTAATTTTTTCTCGCTCAGAAAAAGAAATAAATATTAAAACTAAAGCAAAATAATGATAATAACAACAAAATTGTTTATAAAGCAAAATACATAAAAAATGTGAGATTAACCGAACACTAGTATGTATTCAATGATTAAATCAGAAAACGTAGATTAAAGGTACTTTTAGGATTAACTTTTAACTGATAATATAATTATGTACATAAATAACATTTTCTCGTTAAAAAGTGTACATTCTCGTTTTAATCATGTCTTACTTTTATACTCATGCTTATATATTATATCCAGTTATAAAAAGATAAAAAAATAAAAATATTTTGACAATAAAATAAAGTAGAATAAAACTGCAAGATATATAATAAAGTTTAAAAAAACGTAAGTTTACATTTGTCAATAATTTATTTCGCCCTGTATAACTGCTTGTAATTTGTAATGAAGAAAGAATTAAAAAAAAAATAAATTTTAAAAAAATAAAAAATATTCCATTATAGTAAAAAATAAATTAAAAAGAAATAAAAAATATTCCAATATTTTCCGTACAGCAAACACGTAATATCGAACGCTATGTATTTAAGAATTTATGCTCAGAATGTTTTACAACATAAAATCAGTTAAGAACGATAAGACTTTGATTCTATTCGTGACCTATCTTGAAAGTCTTGCGGCGGCATTCTTCTTGACACAGGAATAATAATAAAATTGCGCAGAACGTTAAACACTCTTTGTCGAGTGATTAGAAGGCAAGTGGTTGCGACGCGACATTCGGTATTCTGCTACGTCAGTGAAAAGCGAGCTTTCCTGCAGGCGTCTCCTGGACAATTTGGGTCTTATTGTTGGAACATTAAACAAGCCTAGGTATCCCTATATCTTATTTACCTAAACGCTTATATTATATACATTTAAAAAAGAAATAACTATATAATTTAAAATAAAGGTAAAACATTGTTAAATGCATATAGTATTGATTTTGTTTATCGTTTGTTATTTATGGACTTTTCAATAACAGTCTCATGAGACTTGTGCATTTTGTGTTCGTACTCTGCCACATATTTATTTTTTTTTTCATGAGTAAACAATCAGGCAAGTGTTGTTTATACTGGAATACTTCAACTAATTGCAAGTTTTATCATAGCCTTTTTTGCACGAATATCCGTGAAACAGAGTAATTTGCCTTTGAAATAGGTTTGTGCATGACAGTATAAAAAATAAGCGTATATAAAAATAAAAAATATTGTTTTTAAAAAGTGGCAAATTTTCAATTTTTTAAGGAAAAAAATATTTTATTTTTTTTAAATATATGTATAAATCAATAAACAGATAAATGCAATAAAAATTTATTTGTTTCTTATATAAATAATAATGTACAAAACTCTGATGTTTTACGTTATAAAAAAAGGTAAAAAAATAATATGTTTACATCTTTGAAATAAGAATGTATCTGCGAGATATGTATATAATCTTATTCTCTTATCAATAAGTGATAAATAATTACTAATCAATTACTGATGATAAATTGGTAATAAATAGTTTAATTGTTCCAAAATTAATATTATTAAAAATTCAATTATGGTTGCATTACATTTTATATCTTTATAGCTTAATTTTTAATATACATGTCACAAAATAATATGTATTTTTTTATTATATATATTACATCTAATATACTAAAATGTAATATATATATTAAAGATAATATAATGTAACCTTAACTCAATATAAATTCCAATTCTGAACAAATTCAATTTTTTCTGAAAGTGTTTCTTACGCTAATTTCCATCGCTGAAATTATAAATTTCGAGGGAATGTTATTTTTGAACGATTACAACATCGGAAACTCACCAGAATTATATTTATATTTCAACCCTTGTTCGCGGCATACGTGAAACATGCGAACTCAATCCCGGATTAGGTTATTTGTCCAACAGACCGACAATCTATGCACGCGACAATCGCCAAGAGAACTTGGGGACGGTAAACGTCTGACATACAGAAGCACACGCCAAATGTCACGATAATTGTCACTCGTATCAGGACACACACGTGCGCTCCACCGGAAAGGTTAAATGGCCTCGAAAATCGCTTGTGCTCGAGACCGTGATCGAGGCCACGTTTCGGAGGTTAGGTTCTGAAATCTGAATGTGCTTCGACTAGTTGCTCCGTCTCGCGGCCAACTTCAGGAGCGTTGCGGCAAGGCCGTACATGATTGAACCCGTCTTATTAATGACGTTTTATAAATAACAGATGTTGATTCAACCTTTGGTTTCGTATTAGATTTTTTTTATAAATTTTATATTAAATGACCTTGCACCAATCTTATAGAAAAATATCTTTCTACGAATTTGACTAATTTTTGGAATGTTTGGATATGTTTTAGTTCTTTTCATTCTGAACAAATGTCTCAATGGGCATAACTTGATCCTGTTCCTGTGAGCCCTTTCCGTGCTACAATAAGCCTTGAAAGATCCAGTTATAATCATATAAAATCTGGACTTTTCAAGGCTTGTAGCACGGAAACGATTCTTAGGATCAAATTATGTCCATCGAGGCATTTGTTCAGAATGAAGAGAACTACAATAACATATCCAAAAATTAGCCAAATCCGCAGAAAGACATTTTTCCATAAGATTGGTGCGGGGTCATTTATCACTTGATACGAAGACGAGTTCTACGAAATGACTTAAGTGCTGACTAATTGTAAATAAATAGTGCGTAGTAAAGTAGCACGTATTATCATAATGTTATTACTGAATTTTAAATATGGAGTTCTCCATTTCTTGAACATAAACAATTCTGCGATACAAATAGATATTCTTTTATCCTCAAATTGAAACGATAAAATGAAACTAAATAAAATATGAAAAATAAATTAAATACGTTATATGAGAAAGAAATATATCACATCTTTCTTATTTATATTTTATTGAGATATATTTGTGTTATAATAATATTAATTATGATTATTATATTACTTTACATACATGTATAGTTTTTTGAAGTTCGTTGAAAATAAATAGCTTTGTAGAGCAATAGATATATATTTTAAATTAAGTCAAATATAATATATGAACAATAAATTAAATGCGTCATATAAAAAATACATAAATTTTCTTATTTATTATACATTTATTGAGACACACAAAAACATAAAATATCTGCACAAATAATTATTTTTATTCATTTTATAATCTTTCTGATAAATCAACTTTTATTTATTGTTAGTTGAACGACCAAACTCACCAATTACTAAATATACTGTTCGTTGCGAGAGAAATTTTTAATTAAAATCTCAAAATTTAATTAATTTTCTACATTTTTTTCCCCCCAATATTAGAAAATCCCACGAATCGTCAGGAACCTGAACCATTGAAATTCACCGAAATCGTGGACTCTCGAAGGACATCCTGTATATTCGAATACGAAATCGAGGGTGTGGCAGAATCGAAAACCGCTCCTGAACCTTCCACGATTCACGAAGCCGTTCATCCCGCGCTCGAGGCCGTTAGATTCGGTTAGATTCGCAAGACATCGGAGCAGCTCGGGCAGGAGTCGAACCTGACCCGTCACCCGATCGGTGTGAAGTGAGTCGCGCGCGCGGAGCCGGCGGAGCACAGTGAACGGCGGTGGTGGGTGGATTGTGTTCGTGTCAGCGCGTCGTTCCTGTGCAAAAAGCGGAGTCCACGACGGCACTCGACGCCAGTCATCGCTTCGTGTTCGGAAAAATCGCCGGCCGCGTCTTGAGTCGCAACGATACGGAAAGGAAGGAAGAGGCAGACGTCAGGAGAGAAAAAGAGTACAAGCAGGATCCCGTGACATTGTCAATGAATTCCGGTTTAAATCGTTCGCCCAACCCGGTGAGTATTCTGCGTGATCCGCCCGTGGAATTTACGGAAGGGGCAGGGAGGAACCGGATCGTTCTCTAGTCTTGAACACAATAAAAAGCACAGGCAACAGGAATTTCAACAGATTTCGACTTATATCAGAAATTGTGTTTACTTATAAGTAGAATGCACGGTTTCTAATAGGTTGAAATCTGTTATTCGGATCAGGCGTTTTTATCGCTTGTACTTTTCACAAAGGCAGACTCTGCCGATGTGCGGGTTGACGCGGCACGCCGGTAATCTCTATTTGCGTAAACGTTGTAATTGGTGAGCGTTCCGCTTCCGTCGACTACTCGTGCAAGGGAGCGGCACGGATAAAAATCGACTGTGGTTTGCAGACGCGCGAGATAATAGCCCAAGATAATAGCCCAAGATACCTTGAAAAGCACAGGTAATGAGAACAGGAAATGAGAAATTTTAATTCTATCTGAAATCTATCTGAAATCGTATAGAATAGTTTACTTTTATAATTTTCATTTTATTTTACGATACACAATCAACTCCAAGACATTTTATGCCCGTTTCCATCAATGTAGATTAACTTTAATCTCGGTTCAACTTACTCTTCGTCTTTTTCTAGTTTTAAAGATTAGAAAAAGACGAAGAGTAAGTTGTTAAATGAACCGAGATTAAAGTTAATCTACGTTGGTGGAAATGAGCATTGAAACATTTTTGCAAAAGATGTCTTAAACCTTAAACACAATGAAAAGCACAGGGACAGGGAATAACAGGTTTCCACCTATCAGAAACCGTGTATACTAAAATGTACTGTTTTTGATAGGTTAAAATCTGTTATTCCCTATTCCTATTGTCTATACTTTTCATTGTTCAAGACCTTCAGTTTGAGACACAATTGAACGGTACAGGTAGTAGGAACAGGGAACAACGGATTTCAACCTATCAGAAATCGCGTACAATGGAATGTACGCTTTTATAATTTTTACCTTATTTCAAGATACACAATCAACTCCAAAACGTTTTAAAAACATTTTCGCCAAAGACGTCTCAAGCCTGAAACACAATTGAAAATCACATACAACAGAAACAGAGAATAAACGGATTTCAATCTATAAAAAATCGTGTATATCAGAACACACGATTTCTGATAAATTGAAATTTGTGTTATTCCCTGTTCCTGTTTCATTGTCTGCTTTTTAATTGTGTCTCAGCCTAAGGTAAACGTATTAATTAATAAACAATTAGTAGATATCCAATTATTGGACAAAATGACGCACATTTTAAATATTAAAAATAAATATTTTAAATTTAATGACATGTACGACTCCAAATAAATTTGTTTATAAAAATATATAATATTATTTATAAAAAATTTATAAGACGAATTTAGGATCGTGCATATAATATTATTAAAAGCGTAATATTTAAATTTTTCGTTATTTTGTCTAATAATTGGTTTATATCCACTAACTGGTATTTATCTTACGTGTATATCCTCGAAGATCGAAGTGGCGTAAAGGTGAACTACTTATTCCTCGTTTCTCCGAAACGAAAGATCATCGCTCGAGTGTTATACGAATGACTTCGAATTATAAATAACAACAGTTGTCGTTAACGTGAGACAAAGAGATAGGTTTCCGATTACCGAGTTTGTTTGAACGTCTCTTGAACACGCGAGATATTTTGCGACGGACATTGACGTACATACCGGTAAACAAATACTTACTTCCGGAATAAAATATAGTTTATCGCGAGAAATCGCGAAATCGTCGAATAATGAGAACGCCAAATTAGGTGAATGTCAACCACAAATGTATGGCTGTAAGCCAGGCGATTATTCCGGTCGAATTCCTCCGATCGATCGAAGCAGAAGATGTACTTGAAATTGATAAAATACTCTTTAAAATATCAATTTTCTAATATTTTTGTTTAAATAGATTGTTCCTGCATATTTATGCAATATGTAAAATAATTATTGAATATGTTTAAATGACTAAAAGAAGAAATGTAATATATAGTTTTCTCGCAATCTGAACAGTAAGAAGTAGGTGGTCGAGAAATAAGTAATACCTATATCGGATTACAGATTAAAAATGAATTGGAATTTAATCGATCAGAAGAAAGAACACCAATATCAAATTTAGTTTGCTTTGATTGGTCAAATTCAAATTCAATCTCAATCTTAGTCTAAACCTTACAAGTTTAATGGATTTTTTCTATTTTTATTTGATTTTTCACCTGATAGCATCGTCTATTTCTAAATTTTGAATATATAAATATAGAAAAAGAAAAGAAAGATGAATTGCAAAGGATGTGAAGTTGTGACATCAAATAACGTCAAAAATCTTTAAATCTATATTAGACTACGTATTGGAGATTGAGAATTGCAAATTGAAGATTAGAATTTGACTAGCCCGATAATCTAATAATTTTAATAAATAATCTAGTAATTTTAGTAAAAAATAAACAACAGCTCGTGTTATGCTAAGTAATAAATTACAACGTATCTACAAGTTAATTAAACGAACAAAGTAAGACGACCAATAAAATACAAATTTTATTTGCATTAGCAAAAGAATCGTGGAACGTTTCGCACTTAATAATAATTCATCTTTAGCCATTGTCATAAAATCGATATCTGTAAGAGTAAGAAGTATTATATATGTCACACGTTATATTCTTTTCTAAGATCTTACATAGCGTCACCTTTTTTTATATCTCATATAGATCGTTTTAAATTATATTTAGACACTATGGACAACGATTTTAACATTGTGGATTAATTATACAAAAATTCTTTTGCCTTTACTTTTTTTTTACTAATAAACGGAGAATCAGTTCTATTTTTATCATGGACTGCAACTATTACACCCATCTATTTTTATTATGGACTCTCTTATAATTTGGACTTTTTGAGAAAAGCGTTATATAATTTATTATTATGATATTAATTTAATCTACATACTTCTATGTCTACCTTGTATGATGTGACTTCTTGCTGCTCCAGTTACATTGTCCAACGTATCTTATTTTATTCATTATCTTTCTATTATAGCTTAATTTAATAATTTATTAAGATTTATACGACTGAAGATAATTTCATTAAATACGAAATTCAGCGAATTTTTACTGACTGTATAAATAAAATTTATTTTATTATGTTGCTTTATTTTGCTCGTTTAATTGACCTGTACGTTATAATTTATTACTTAATTTTAATTAGTTATTTAAAATTCTAATCTCCAATTCGCAATCCTCAACCTTCAATGCGTAGATATTAATTGTTAGCAAAATTTCTACTAATCTTTGGCAAAATTTAAACTAATCTTCAAATTGGTCTCTATATATATAGGGTGTTTCGAAATCCGTAGGAAATTTTATTGCAATCTGTAGGTAATATTATTGTGAAAAACTAAGTAATAAAAGTAAGCCACTTTTTTCTGTAAAGTAGGTTTTTAAATAAAAACGTTTAAAGTATAAACGTTGGTTAAAAAGTCATCTATCCGTGTGATAGTGTGCGTACAGCGGCAATGTTTTGTTTAGTATCTAATACTATTACGCGCACGTCACATTGACAGATAACTTCTTAATTGATGCTTATTAGTCAAACTTTAAACTTTTTTATACTTAAAAAAATGCTTCATGGAAAAAAATGATTTACACTTTTATTATTTAATTTTTTTATGAAGTTTTACGCTGCATTATCCTCGAATTTTGGGACACCCTGTGTAACGTCGAGAGAAAGAAATACTTCAAAATTGTGCTTTGTTATGCATGATTGCATACTTCATATATTCACGACGACAAATTTTAGAACGTTTTCTTGTAAAAAATCATGTTTTTTTATCTTTATATATTTTCATATACATTAAAAATGTACTTTTCTTTACATATTAAAATAATTAACTTTAATTTATTAAAAATTTTTCTCAATAAGCATTCTTTTAAATTCGAGACAGGTGCGTTTTGAATGAAAATTTATCGATGACTAGAAGGAAAAGTTATCGTTAGAGTTAATAACCTTGGACGAAATTACACATCTGCGTGTCAACGATTGTATTCGACGCGCTACTTTGCGCACTGTGATACACTTCGTGTTCTTTTCAGACAGTCTCGATCTTTGCTTCTTTTATTCGGCAACCTTGGTTAATTAATGGTTCGCGTAATTGTCGAATCATCGTTTCTTTCTGTGTTATATAATTGTCGTTATAGTATAATTGATCTTTATGACATAATTGATCGTAAAGATGAATTATATATTTGATGGACGATTCGCTAGCCTTGGGAGATCGTATTGATTGTCTAACAAAATAAATTAACTTCAATTAAATAATCCTCAATTTTAGTTTCGTGTCGTAAATAATGTTTGCTATGATATTCCTAGCGGAAAAAAAGCGGTAATGATGTAAAAAAACACGATATTTTTTTATTACTTCCTCTATTACATTCATAAATAAACATATATGAATCTAATATGTGTTTACATCAAATATATAAATATTATCTTTCTGCGATAATTTACGTCAATTTAACAATGTATGATAGATATCGTGATATTGTGTAGAATAAGGATAATGCATGTGAGAGAAAAATGTTTTGTATTTGTAACTATAATTAGGTATTACTATAATTTTATTTATTTAACTATAAAAAATATGGTTGTCCCAAATTATAACTATAAAATTATAGTCACTTGAATCATTTTTATGATAATTTCAATTATTTTATGGTTATAATAACTATAATTAGTCATTTTAGGTTGCCAACTATATACATTTGTTGCTAGAACTGTATACATAATTACCGTTATTATTATTATAGCAGTAATAATCATAATTATAGTAATATCTAATTATAGTTACAAATACAAAACATTTTTCTCTCAGTGTACAATCACAGCAGAAAACACACATATTAGATAATTAGAAATTGTATTAAAATTCTTAAATAAAATATAACAATAAAGAGGATTTCCCAGTCATTCACCGATAGATAAATAATACATGATGCATGTAATTCTTGTCGTATATTTTTTTAAGTTGAGAGTATATGATGGTATCCTATTTGTATTAAGTTATCTGTACAAGTATTTCCAAGTATTAGTTGTTCGCAATAAAAATGGTAAGCAATTTGCCAAGAAAAAATTTATATAATATCATTTATGAAAAATATGTCTCATATATATGTATATATACAATATACGTTCATATATTCCACTTTGTTTCTGACCATCTCAACTATGCAGAAGTCTGATATATACTTTTATACTAACAACACTGGTGTTAATAATTCATGCTCGAATAAAGTATAGAGCGCATCGTTTGCAAATCGGTTTTTATGTAAATGTTCTTGTTTATAAATGAATTGAATTATCCTTATTTTTTTTGTCTCTGTATAATAGTAATGAAGTACATTTAACTTTTCAAGTTGCACTACTTCTTATCGTAAAACTTGCCGTAACAATGAGTTTGCATTGTTATACGAATAATAAATAATATTACAGATTAGCACGTGTATACACGTAATAAACTATTATTTTCTCAAGTTTCTAATTAAAGTAATTCAACATAAATCGTGTTACATTCGTAATAAACGAATGTTGATTCAGAACGTATCGAATAGGACACTATTAAATTCCACTTGTTTGCATTATTTCAATCGTATTATCGTTACTCTTGCACGTAGCGACTTTATAACCTTGTGTATCTTGAGTGATTGCATGAAATAGCCTTGTTTAAACCGAGAAGTGATTCGTGCTCGCGCACAAGCCCTCCAACATCATTCAAAATACGACAATGAATCAGAGACGTGAAATATGACATATTCATAATTTGTGAACCAGAAACTACGCGATATATGAAATCTCTCAACTGATTTTTCTAAACGTGAAAGATCTCTACTGCGAAAAATAAAGCTTTACAAGCTTTGATTTAATATATTAAATTAATTGCCCATAAAAATGATATTAAACATAAACAGTTCATAGAATTTGACGGAGATCTTTTGAAAAGAATGAATTAAAAGTTATTTTACATTTGCAAATTTTTACATTTGCAACACTGCAAGTGAAATAACAAACAAATACCACTTGTATTAAATTTCGAACTTTTAGCTCAAGCTGCTAATTAAATTGCTGTTTGAACTAGGTGAATTTGCACTTTCAAGACTCGACAAGCTTTGAAACTTTTACTCTCTTCGGCAAATAACGTCGTAATTAAACAGTCGTAGTACAAACGAATAGTTTATCGACATTTTGCCATCGTGTACAAAAGCATACGAGATCACCCTGTTGTAATTCCATTATGTGCAAAGCTGCTTAAATTCAAGCGTATTGTTCTGTTAGCCTTGATATGTAATTTCGTGATTATGTCAGTAATGGGTGTCCACCGGATTAAGTGCGTAAGCGTGTATCGTTCTAGAATTCACGCCCTTGAATCGGTCTGCTTAGGAATATGTATGTAATTTTCCGACAGCGAAATTTTGCCACTTACTCATTAATATTTATTGCCAACGTACGGTCACGTATGTTAAGTCATCAGTTGTCGTGAGTACGTGAAGTACGCAATCGAGCATAACAAAGCACGATTTTGAAATATTTCTTGCGATATTATATTTAGAGACCAATGTTCACAGTAAAATTCCGCTAACAATGAACTGTTTTAGTACGTTTTACTTGTCCGTGGATATATAGCATTAATTTACAAGAAAAAAGAATAAATTTCGATATCATTTTTTAATTATTTTTTTAACATAACGAATGTGATTTTAAAGCGACTCATTAAAAAATAACAAGGAAATAATATCGTACTTTCCGTTAAATGTATTCCTTTAATCCTCATTTTTCTCCCTCTTTTTCATTTATAATTGAATATGAAAAGAATTACTTTTTATTTTATCCATGCAAACCAGTTTACATAGATATTATAATTCAACGTTCAAAAATAAATTTGTTTAACAATTGAAAATGTTATCTTAACGAATTTGTGGAAAACAATGTGGAAAATATGAGGAATTATTAAAATATGTATTAAACAGAATATTCAGAATGTCAAAAAAGAAGGCAATAACGCGATAAGTTGTAGGCGAATCGTACTCGTACGGTATTGCGAGATAATCTTCACACGATAACATTTTCCAAGGCAGAATGATGATTCATATTTACATTCGATCAGTATACACTACGTCATAATAAATTTCAGACACGCACACATTGTCATGCATAACGATACTATAAAATCCATAATATAGAAATAATTCCTATTTTTTGCTCGTATTTTCGAATGATGCGCATTTACAATTTTCAAATTACAAAATTAAACCGATTATTCTTGTGCATTATTTTATTTTTGACCTTTACGCAATTGAATACATTGTGAATCATAGCGAATTATATTAATTGAATCATTATTTTCTTCGTGAAACTTTATTTTTAACGAGTTTGACGTACGAATATTTATGAACAAATAATTTTGTGAAGAAAAACAATTTTTAATATTAAATGCATTTTAATTACTACGCTTATTATTAAATATTTTAATTGGATTCTGACTAATCAAAATATATAATGCAGGAAGGTATATTTTTATTTTTGTCAGTGAATAATGCATCTTATGAATATGTACTCGTATATAATGGACGATTAAACACATTAAAATAATTAAAATTGCAAATATGTATATTTTTCTCTCTTGGCAGGTGAATGTTAATTGAAGAGCAAACACGAGGCAGAATGCAAACTCGACAGATCCTAGGCGTGTGCCATCGTTTGGTAGAACTAATTGTGAGAGGAGTATCACTGTTAGTTGCTTTTGTCAGAGGGCCGGCACAATCTCAACCACCCATCAAAGATTTAACTCTCCTGCACAGCACAACCACTTTAGCGTTAAAAATTCGAAATAGACAAGTAAGTTTTTCTTGTCTCACACTTTTTGAATTTCCTCAGTGTTTGATAAATTCTGACAATTTTTTTTGCTTTTGATAAGTTTCTACCAGTTATCTGCTCGCTAATCTTTTTAAATTATCGAATAAAAAAGTGAAGTTTTATTTTTTAATTAATTATATGACCAATATTATTACGATGCTTATCTTAAACATAATAAATAAAAATAACTCGCCTGTATGTTCTCTATTTTTCCATTAATACCATTAACCCCTTAGCTGTCAGGCGAAAATCAGCTTTTCGTGCCATTTTTGTCTTGGAAAAAAATTTTCATTGATTTATCCTATAATTTTAGTGTTATGGTTTTGGAGGTCGCTGAATCTGAATCTGAAATCGGATTTTCAAAAAACAAAAAACAAAAAAAGAATAAAATCATAATGGAAATAAAAATAATAAAAAATTTAAAAACGCCAAAAGCACCAAAAAAATAAAAAAAATACAAAAAGTAAAAAAAACGGAGTCAACAACCGCCACGTCCTCGATTCGTGACTCTGGGTTCGGCAGAGAGCGGGATATAAAAACAAAAAAAAATTCTTTTACATTTTTTACGATGGATAATTTGCCATGAATGGTTTGCTGAATTTTTATTCGTCATAATGTATCCGAGTTTCAGATACTTAGAGTCAGGCCTCAAATTCTAAATTCGCGATCACGAACATCTAGAGATACAAATTTTTGTAGAAATCAAACCATTTTTCGAACTTGCGTCCGCCATATTGGATCCGCCATTTTGAATTTTGAAAATCCGATTTCAAATTTGGATTCAGCGACCTCAAAAACCATGATTTAACAAATTACAGTCGAATCGATGAAGTATAAACATGTTTTTTTTCAAATGCGCACATATGCGTCATGAGACGAAAATGGCACGACTTTTTTCTGCGCATATGTGCGTCACTGACACTCAAGGAGTTAATCGTTTCTTCGAAACATAAAAGAACTTAATAAATATCATAATAATTAATAACATGACCAGGGCCTATATTCTGTAACTATTTTACACGCCTATCGACAGTTGTCGGTGTCGTTGCGCAGCTTTTTCACCATATAAAATATCTGCGCAAAAACACCGACAATTGTCGGTAAATGTGTAAAACAGTTACAGAATATAGGCCCAGGATAAGCCTGATTAACTACCTAAACGACACACTTCTGCCCATGTTGGCTAATTATTAATCGATTATGTAACTATTTATTATTCACAGTTAACTTCCGAAGATGTGGTATCTTCGTATATAGAAAGAATAAAAGAGATTCAACCGATACTCAACTGTGTGGTCGCAGAACGCTTTGAAGAAGCTCTTAAAGAAGCGAGAAAATGCGACGAACTGTTAAAATCTCAGGATGCTCCGTCCGTGGAGTTTCTGGCCAAAGAAAAACCATTATTTGGCATACCTTTCACCACCAAGGTAATTTTGATTCTTATTTGTTTCACAACTTAATTTCATTAGAAGAGTTTAAACGATTAAGTTTTTGCTTTTTATCATCTGTTAACATAATTATGTGACTATAATTTAAGGATATCATTTGTACTATTGCATTGCAGGACTGTATTGCAGTCAAAAACATGCAGCAAACGGCCGGTTTAGTTATACGAAAAAACACTGTCGTTGATAGAGATGCAGAAGTGATAAGATTAATAAGATCAGCTGGAGCCATACCTCTGGCACTGACAAATGTTTCAGAACTGGCAATGTGGTGGGAAAGCAGTAATTGTTTATTTGGTATCACCAAGAATCCATATAATACAAGGTACAATATGTTGGTAATTATATCAATATGTACTATTGGTATAATATAATATCTCCAATTACTTTACAATATTTATTAAACACATAATTATTTATCGAAACTTTATTGAAAAAATTCTTGAAGAGATAAAATAAATTTTGCTTTATAATGTACAATTAAATCACAAAGAATAATGGTAAAATATAATTATTGAATTTGTTTCAATATTCAATATATGTATTATAATATTATAAATTAATGTATTTTATAAGTATGCCAATGTATATATTAGGCAGCAGTTACGAAATTTCTTCATAACTATTATAATTTGAATTTGAATGTACTATAGAAATAATAAGATTAAATCCTACAAAAATTTCTTATTTCATTGTTATTTACTGTCAGACATATTGTGGGCGGTTCTTCGGGTGGTGAAGGTTGTATACAAGCAGCAGCTGGATCACCATTTGGAATTGGCTCGGATATTGGTGGCTCTATTCGTATGCCGGCATTCTTCAATGGAATTTTTGGTCATAAGCCAACTAAGGGTGAGGAAGAATTGAGAATTTGGATAATTTAAATATTTCTTGTTATCAACGTGAAAATATTATATTTTTATTAAATTATAGGAATTGTTTCGAATGATGGTCAATATCCTAGTGCACATGGCGATGATCAAGAGCAATTACTCGCCATTGGACCAATGTGTAGATTTGCACAAGATTTAACATTAATTCTTAAAATTATCGCAGATAAAAATGCCGATTTATTGAAGTTAAATCAGAAAGTGGATATTTCGAAAATCAAGGTAAGTTACGGTTTAAAATTGAAATAAAATTAATTATTTTTTCTTAAATTTAATTAGATTTTCTTGAATTTAATCTTACTTTATATATGCATGCTTTTACAGCAAAATATCAAGATTAATAATTTATCATATAATAACCAGGGAATCATATTTCTGTGTAACTTTAGCTCTATTATATGGAAGACGATGGTGGTCAGTATCTGATTTCGCCAGTGGATCCAGAGATAAAAGCCGCTATGAAAAGAGTGTTAAATTATTTCGAAAAAGCGCACAAAGTTAAAGCCACGAAAGTAAACGTAAAGAAGTTTAAAAAAAGCATAGCCCTCTGGTTGGCAAACATGTCATGCAAGGAGGAGGAAGATTTTTCATACGAGCTAACCAATAGAAAAGGTCAACTTAATGTTTGGTTTGAAATTATTAAATGGATGTTATTTATGAGCAATCACACTTTGGTTGCTCTTGTCACTGCCATATTCGAAAAATGTGGCTTAAAACATGGAAGTGAGAAACATGTTCGACTTATGCAACAGAGTAAAGATCTTTATCAGGAATTTAAGGTACTGTTGCGTTCTTTTTTTTGTTGTATGATTTTTCTATAAACGTATGCTTTAAATGTCACTATTGCTGTAAAATTTTTCTGTATATGAAAATATACATGATGTTTTATACTTATCATATTTTTTTTAGGATATTTTAGGAGAAGACGGTGTGTTTTTGTATCCAACACATCCAACTGCAGCTCCAATGCACCATGAACCGTTGTGTAAGCCGTTCAACTTTTCTTATACTGCAATCATTAATGTATTAGGCCTACCGGCTACGGCTTGTCCATTAGGTTTAAATAAACAAGGACTTCCCATTGGATTACAAGTGTGTATTCGTATATTTCTATGCAAAATTAAAAGGTAGTGTCTCATTTGTATTTTAAGTAATATAGTTTTAATCATATAGGTCGTAGCAGGACTTTATCAAGATCATTTATCTCTCGCTGTTGCGGAAGAATTGGAACGAGGTTTCGGAGGATGGGTACCACCAGCAATAGTAGCCTGATGTCAATACTGTCATAGACAATAATTCTATGAATGAACGATACACACATAAAAGCCTCATCTTACCGACCCTGCCATCTTTCTCTTGCGAAGTATTATATTTATATCAAGATTTTCATCTATGTAAACACTATCGAGGTAAAGTACAAATTATACAAATACGATTATGTATATGATGAATATGTATATATGAGTATGTATACTCACACGCATTTAATATGAAATTTCTTATAATATTTGATATTCCGTAAGTTTCGTGATGAAGTAAGTTTATATATATACGATTATGTTATAACTTTGCATTTATGAAATTCCAAGATAACATTTATATTATATAACATCTAAATAAGAAAGTGTACATGAATCTTCTGACCAATTGCTTGTTGGAACTCCTTGTAATAATATAACGATCGATGTTACGATATTAATACAGCCAATTATATTAACGATATTAATTCAACATAAAATAAAAATGTCGCTATATGCAAATACGCGCTCTTGCATGAGAAAAACGGAAATCTTAGTTTTTAAAACGAGACATTAAATGTTTATATAACAGAGAAGATAGTTCTAAATACGAATATTTTCAATTTTATGTTGAATTGCAGTATTTATATACCTCAGACTTCTATACATAGAATTTTCTATTTTCATACGTGATGTATGTAAAATCAGATGGTAGCAGGGTGCTTTTGGTAACATGTGATAAGACATTCTATATTATTTAAGACATGTATTGATGTTGAAAATTTATACATATATATATTTTATCTATCGAAATAAATTTTTATTATATTATTTCATCACAATTAGATCTTCCTCATATATCCATTATTCTTTTTTCAGCATTACTGCTGTGAATAACAAACTATTTCATTAATATGGATAACGTAAGATAATTTTATAGCTTAATTAAGTACTTTTACAGTAATCAATATAATATAAAGGAAAGAAGTGCGGAATGTAAGTTGTCACGTTTACAATATAATTTTAACTTAAATATATATTATTATATCACATCGCGTCAAAATTATTATACATTCAGATGCAGTGCATAATAAATCACATCTTAGAGTTCTACAAATTTCAAATTTTCTGATATTTATCTTTGTAATACATAACTTATTACATATATGTATAAAATGCAGATTTATGCAAAAAAATTTATCTATGAGACAAATAGTTACTGGAAGAATAAGTTTCAGTACACGTTCAATATACAGCATTTGAGTTTGTAAGCTGAAAAAAAATGTATTTCGTAGACGCTATTTAAAGTGTCTATATATGTACGTTATTTTAAAAAAATATAGATTGTGTATTGAAAATATTTATTTTGCTACTAGCAAAGAAATATGATCTCAATAAGACTACATTATTTGTAATGTACGATATTTATATATTTCACGAAATGTCTCATGCTCATTCATTCTTCAGTTCTCATAACTACAGAAAAGACATTTTACCAATCGTTACAAATTTTCAAAAACATACCTGATTTCTATTAAATATGTAAGAATGATCATGAAATAGCATGAACAGCCCTTATCTTTCTATTACAGTCTTTTTAATATTAATTAAATTGTTTTAGGAAGAGCTGCCTATGTATAATTTGATAAAACAGATACCACATTTTCAACAATTGTCATAATCAAGTTAAACATGCCTAATGCAAGGATCATAACACTATAAAAAATTTGTCGTATATTTTTATAAACTTCAATACAAATTTAACATTTTTGCACGTTTTATAAGTACAGTTCAAGGACAAAAATTATTGAAAACGTTCGACGACTTTTCAGTGCGCTTGTAATACTTACTTCTAATGGTATTTTAAGGTCAATATAAAAATTTCACCTCCTGGTTTTATACATTCCAAGAAAGCGGAAATCCATAACCAGAAAAGCATCGAGCCAAATTTATCTAGAAAATAGTCTACAAGAGAATTTGTTGCGATCATAAGATTACGATATCTCGAGATTATTCGAGCTGTTATTTAGAGATTCTCGTCACTTATAAAAAATTCATTTAGCAGGAAAAGATAGATTTCTATCAGTAAGTATTATAAATACTTAGATCTATGGAGATCGATATTACGTTATGAGATTCGTTTTCTCCGACGGTGTTTCGCTGTTGCCGGTGCTGATGAGAGCCCTTTCTTCTAATCTATTGTCTAACGAATTGTCCTTGCTCTCGTTGCACGACCTGCTGGAAATCATCTCAAACTCGTTCAAGTTGATATCCGCATCAAAAAACGCCAAGTCAATGGTATCGGACTGATCTGTTCTATCTTCAGAATGACGCGTCTCATTTATGTTTCCGTTACTGATTCGTTCGTGTAATTGTTCCTTAACTCTGTCCTCGTTATTTTTTATTGATCCCGTCGCCTCTTTCTGTTTGTTCAATCGCTTATTTATTACATCTAGCTCTACATCCATTTGCAGCGCTCTCCCATAAGAGAGTTTTGTGGAATTGTCGGAGTTGTTCAAGAATATTTTATTCTCGTTCGTTGGAATGTCCAAGCCATCGCTTCTCTGATGGTTTTCATTTGCGGTTTCCGATCCGTCTCGAAGGTTGGCCGGTTCTTGCACGTCGACATGATGGTCTTTTCCCTTTTTAGCGGCGGCGGCGGCGAGCTCGGCCTCTTTCATCGCCGAGTGGATGACCGGCTCGGCCCATAATCCCGGGTTGAAGGCTGGCCCCGTTCCACCGAGTTCCGCCGGCAGGATGTCCGTTGGCAGGTGTTCGTGAAGCGTACTGAGATTGTTGCCGTGCAGATAAATCTGCCAGGAGAGAAACGATAACATCTTTTTGCGTTCGAGGGGCAGTTATCAGTAATGAGTCTAAATAATAATTTGTAGCCATTTATGCATATTTCTGAAGGTATCGCTCTACCGAGAAATCCAGTTTACACTATGTTTTTCTTGCAGATTACGTCGTAAGCAAGCAACGGAAATAGATTTATGCGTTGAACAGTATTTGCTAGATACGATAAAAACTGGATAGCAAATGATCAGAAATAAATTACCGAGTCTAGTTGATCTACTTACACGCAGACGTAATAATAAATTTTTATTACGATAAATATCAAATAAAATTTTACAGTTATAATTATCTTTCGTTGCGTACATCGAACTATTGAAGCATGATTATAATTATGTAAATATTTGTCCCCACTCAAGCCGATTGCGTCAATTGACATATTTTACTTAGGTTTATATTTATAGTCGAGTCTTACAAGTTAAGACTGTTTTAAATATAGTCTTAATGTGTCATGAATGAATACCGGCCTATGAATATCGGCCTTAGAAGATTTTTTTCATGCATCACTTATGTATACCTTACCTTATTCCGCGTCTTCTCATCCAAAAATGGCTTCACCAGGGCCAGAGTTGCCTGGACGTAGAGCGGCGCCGAGAGGAAGTGTATCGCCTTGAATCGGGCGGGAAATCGCCCGCGTAGAGCAGCTATTAGATTTCGCAGAGCCGCTGCCCCCAATGCACCGCCCTGCCGTAACGAGAATCCGCTCCAGTCTACCACGGCGACGAAACCGGATTGCTGCAAAAAAGGAGCCGTAGGTCATCGTTAAGCGTTCAAGCAGTGTGTAATAATTCCAGCGTAGAAGTGGACGCCGAGTCTAGACTGGTCATCTAGATTTAGCTGAATGAAACAGCATTAGCTTCAAAACACCTCGTTATATAAGTACGTTATGGTTGAGTTACGAACTTCGACGCTTACATTTTTATATTAACATTGAACTTAAATTTTTATATCATAATATTATATATATATAATATGTTTTTATGGTTTAGTTCCGTCAAGATAGGAAAGATACATTGGTCAACTTTCAAAATTAAGCTCTTAAAAAATTCGTTGCTTTAAAAACATAACAAAAGCAGCCACTTTATAATAATATGATAATAGTTGATTTCATAGAATAAGCGATCGACTAATAAATAATGAACGTGTACCTGATTTCGAGGATCTTGAATAAGTATTTCCAGAACTAAGAATATCGCTCGTTGAACGGACAATGCGGGCACGGCTACAGGATCCCATTGCGACGCCAAAATAACCAGCACGCATCTGCCTTTCCTATAATGATTTATGGTAAAACAAAAATTAATGAAATTATAAGATAATTGACTAATAAGTATTCACACATTCTACAATAAGCTATTAGTAATAATTAATCAAAAATTTGTAACTACAATAGAAATTGACTAATCATAATTAATTATTCTTCTCATACTCAACTGTGATTAATCAATTTCTAACTTCTTACTTCTGATTTATTACCAATGGCTTATTATAGAATGATCATTACAAATAATTTTCTGTTTTATCCACTTATATTTAAAGTTAATTATTAAATGTACGGTCCTATAATATATTATATTATTAATTATTAAAATTATTAAAACAATTAAGAAAGAGATAAAATTGTTTTCTCTTTTAAATAGCTTAGATTATTATCAAAAGCATTTAAATAGCTCGATCACGAATATGTTTGCGTTCTTATATAAAAGAAAATATACCATGATAATATTTATGTGCAGGACGAAGTATTTCCGGCACGTACGCGGCGCGTGCCGATAGCGACGGAAAGGATAAGCATACATTAGTAGGGCGTTCATCAGAAACCAACTGGCTGTAAGAGCCTAAGGAACATACCAAGTCAAGAGAAAAAGTAAAAATGACTTTATTTTGACGTTATGAAAATTTATAAATTTTTCAAAACGTTTGCGAAATTTGACTGTTTATTGATGTTGAGAATCAAAATGAAGTCATTAAAATTTTCTGTTGACTTTTGTGTGTTCCTTGGGAAATCATTATTCATACCTGTCACGTGCAGGTAAGACACCCGGTATACCTGCGCGAAGCGCACGCTGCAATGCCGGGTCTCGGGCGGTGAGATTACCGAAGATATCCTGGCGATGTGTTATTTGCGCCTGATAAGCGGCTATCAGAGCCGCTGCCTGCTCGGTGCGGTACTTCCGGGCTAGCAGGAAGCGCGTGATATACTCATCCGTGCAATGTTCCAGGTCTGAAAATAACAAACAAAGGTCGATCATTGCGATGCTACTCGTGAAATGCCGTGCGCAACCGGAAGCAATTCGAATGAGAATATTCCCCGGAAGTGTGTACACAATATGGTTTGAACATACTAATATTTGTCCTTAATCGTCGATGACGTCTATCTTTCACGTTTTTACAATTAAATAAAGATTACTTTTATTCAGGTAATTGTAAAAAACAGTTGTTGATATCTTCACTTGATTGGAAAATAGAATAGTCAGATTATTACTTTATTTTGAGTTCTATTCTTTCAGTTCTTTGCCTGTATTGAACATTAAATTTTTTTCTCATTTTCGTGAAACTTTAAATATTATCTTTTTTATTTTAAGTATAATAACAAGTATACACTCTCCATGTAGCAATTCCTTCAAGAGATGTTTGTGCTGTATGGGGAGTGTACACTCATCCTGAAGACACCTAGAGGATGTCTCTATGCCCTCTGAATGTCTTATGCCCAATTTCTTCACCTCTCTCTCTAGATAACTTTATCCAAGAGATACTCCCAGAATACAATGGAGATTTCTCATGGATAAAGTTATCCGCAACTTATCTGGAAGTGAAGAAATTGGGCATTAGACGTTTCCAGGACGTCTCATGGATAAATACACTATACACTAGTTTAGTCATAGAAAGAACAGGCCCAATATTGTCTCTCATAAGAGCTATACAGAGCGGTACTCCGATATACATGCGATACATTAATTTCGATTTTATTTGGTATAATTCTTACCTACATCCGGCATTTGCCGAAGTATAGACCTGACAGTTTTAATGGCTAGTTTCTTATCGCGTTTATCGAATCTGCCACCCTCTTCATAAATGCTACGGACCAAGCTGCTACGACCTCGGGCCGGATCGCACCACATATATTCGCAGTATTCGGACATTTTATTTTCCTTTTCGGATGCGCGCGTTGATAATCTGAAACATTATAACAAATAAAACATTTTTTCATAACACAAATTTTTGTTCGTTTTAAAATACGCGATAAAATTTTTTCGATATCGAACTTTGATATTTTCGAAGCATTCACAAGATCCGATGAGAAATCTGACGTCGAGAATTCGTAAATGAAAGACTTATGTCTGCGATATAAATATAAATGCGTATGGTAATTTTATTTGGGTCGAGTTTAAATAATAAAGCAAATTCAAGGTGAAAACAAGGATTAATCGTCAAAATAATGAAAAAAAACGAAGCTTATTTCTCTTGAGACAAATGTTGAAGTATTGCGAAACAAATATTTCTTATGACATTTTCATCGAAATTTATTAACTATGATAAAAACATTTCTGTGAAATATATCTCATCAAATGTAAAAAAATAAAATAGATGACTTGTTTGCTAAGAATAACATTTTATTGCGCATATTTAAATAAATATTTATATATTTCAGTGAAATTATTTCTCATAAATAAATTTTGTAAGACAAGTAACTTTATCTCAGGCTGGTATTCATAGTTCTTATATTCAAGACCGCCTTAAGTTCAATCTTAAGATGTCACGAACCAATTAGAAGGCCGCATTAGCGTCTTAAGACATTACTTAAGATGGTCTTGAAATAAAAATCGATTATGAATACCGGCCTCAATATGGGAAAAAAATATATACGTAGAAACATTTATCACCCAAACAAAAGACAAATCATCGTGACATTAAAATGACATGAAAATAACTTCAAAATGATCCACTAAGTCACTTTTCTATTACTTACGATTCATTTAACATCATTTTAATGTTATTGTGATTTGTTGCTCTGCTAATTGGAGCACAGAGTAGGTGATATTCGGTTTTTATTTTCAACTCTTTAGTTATCAAATATACATGATATATCTGTGTTTTATTTTTTTACATTTGATGAGATATATGTCACAGAAATGTTTTTATCATAGTTAATAAATGTCGATGGAAATGTCATAAGAAACATTTGTTTCGCAATACTTCAACATTTGTCTCAGGAGAAATAAACTTCGTTTTTTTTTTCATCATTTTGGCGATTTTATTTTTTTATTATTAACGAAGCGGATAACAAATATACTATATATATATATATACGAGCAACACATGAGAAGAACCGTGTCCGCTGGCAAATGCGGGACGCGCTCTGAATCATAAGCTGCGTGTCGCGTTCAAGCACGACTGCACATTGCACCGGGTAACAAAGAGAATGTGTGTAACGTCCGATGAGTGATTCGCAAAGTGTATAGTTACAGGTTTAAATTGTGCATAGTTATAGGCCGCTTCCATCGGATAAATAATGCGAAATTTATCTAACGGATGTTTTTTGCTGAAAAAGCGATAATTCGCGATCGCGCTGCTCCACGTTGGAAAATAACGCGGCTTGTACTCGTTAGCTGGAAGATAAGTTGAATCCGACGAACATCTAGGTGAAGGTGAGAATAGCGTAAAATAAGCGTCGAGATAAGACTCGTCTTGAAAGATTTCATTTCGCATCTCGCTTTTTCCTCGCGTTAATAGCAAAGTGCAGCGCATTGCCCCAAGGATGACTCACAGAAAATCATCCTTGTATGAAGCGCGTCATGCGAGCGTTCTTTCGACCGGTTCGGATAATTATTTCGCGAAAGTTTCACACGACCTTGCAACGGGCGAGCGGGCGATCGATCGATTTACGATCCCTTACACTTTCCAAGCTGTTAGCACGTCGAGACGCAATCGAATCAATCGTTTCGGAACACAACACTGGGCAAAAATTAGATCATTGTCGATAGCACGAAATTTTGCTGAGATGACATTCAGGACTACATTCCAAAACTTCCTCTCCGATGAAGATTTATATGCTTTCGAGTAAAATTTTCCTCAGAGAGGAAGTTTTGAAACGTAGCCTAGAAAACTAAGCTGACAAGGAAACATGCTACATTCTAAAAGTAATATTGCATTATCTTATTCTTTTTGTTACTGATAGAGGCTTTGTAGTAGCAATTTTTCTAACACCTAACCATTTGCAAGCTACTATTGTCTATTGTATTTATGTATAACTATAGTCTATTGTATCATATTTTATGTCTATTACTTTGTTAACATGTAATCTTTTTTATATAGCTTTGCAATAAACTAAATTAAAATTAAAATTAAAATTAAATATTGGTCCGCTTGGGAATCAATAACACCCTGGACCTAAAATCTAAATAGCTCATCTAATGACCCTCTTCAATCTCTACAATTTTTATTTAAAACGTTTTTTTTCAAAATGTATTGTTCTCGAGATATTTTTTGTTTAAGTTAAAATGGCCAAACAAATTCCGATCCAAGTCAGATACAGAATCTGTAGGATCCTAAGATTGGACCATCTAGAATACTTATTTCGAACGTGGCTTTTCGACTAACAATGTTAATTTTTTTTATATCACTTAGCACCT